AGGAAACAGACGAGAACCCCAAGGTTTCAGCCTAGGCAGTGAAGGGACAGGCTAGTTTGGGGTTCTGCCCACGGTTAAGGAGCATTTGTGCTTGGCAGTGGCCCTATAACCACAGTGCTTGCTGATGAAAGAGACATGTGAGGGCTGCCAATGAGTGAAGGATTAGGTTCTGGTCTGAGCTGACTTTGGGCTGCAGGAGTGAGATGGGAGAGAGAGGACCAGGGAGCCTCAGCTTCCATAACCAGCAGAGACACAAGAGTCTTGGGCATCCAGAAGAACAGCCAGCCATTGCTGGCACACAGTGTGTGAGACGGGGCAGAGTGCAGATACTCAGGGGCAGTACAGGTTGGAATGGCAGCAACAGTTGGTTTTAGAATGTATGAAAGCAGCCCTGCTTATTAGAACACGTGATGAAGGCAATCATTTAAAAGCAATAATAACCTTGCACTGGAATGTGCTCCTGTCATCTCTGTTCTTGGGGGAGGTGGAGGCAGGGCGGTCAGTCTTTCAAGGTTTATTCGCAGGTGCAGTGTGAGTTCAAGGCTAACCTGGGGATATGTAATGCCTTTGTGCACATGTGTATATGTATGTGTGTATGTGTATATGTATGTATGTGTATATGCATGTGTGTATGTACATGTGTGTATGTATGTATATGTGTGTGTATGTATGTATGTGTATATGCATGTGTGTATGTACATGTGTGTGTATGTATGTATGTATATGTGTGTGTGTCTGTATGCTCCCAGCACTTAGGAGGCAGAGGCAAATACAGAGCAAGAATTTAGCACATCTCTTTCAGTAATTTGAGAGTGCTAGTAACAAAAAGAAAGGACATAAAAGCCCTGATCATCACAACAAGCAAACATGACTTTAAAAAAATAAAACACCTCTGACCTCTGTAAAGAATATGTTTCAGGGCTTAGGAGATGGCTCAGTGGTTAAGTACTCACCTACACAGCCAGAACCAGAGATCTGATCCCTAGAACCCACATAAATGCCAGGTGGGTGTGGTGATGTCTGTAATTGCAACACTGGAGGGCAGAGGCAGGGCTCCCCAGAGTATGCTGGCTCTCGCCAGCAGATCACACCGCAGCCCACAAAACAATTCTCAAGGTACTGCAAAGATTCTAGCAGCAGTGTTCTGGAGCATCCCCCACTGTTAGACACCTGTAGTGACAGTGAAAATAGCAAACTTTTTAAACAACCGATGAGTCAAGAAATGCCATCGTGGGAATTGTTTAAATGCCATTCTGAGAAGACACACGTATGTAAAGCTCTATTCACTGGTTAAGGACTCTTGGAAAAATATGGCTTAGGAAACACACATTAAAATAACCACCCAAAAATGTGAAGGTGCTTTGAAATACATTTATCTGAAGATGTGAGAAATGTCTCTGTGTGAAACTTAAAACCTTCCTGGAGACCTCAATTAACAGAGAGCCTCATAGTTCTGGTGGATTTGTGGATCTGAGTTCTAAATCTCTTAATTGTGCAGTGTATGGTTTGAAATGTTATTAAAATGTAAGCTAGATCATCCTAGTAATGTTAGGCAGATTCTAATCTGCCTAAATTCAAGGAACCAATAACCCCGGGACAGCTTCGGAGGAGTAGTTTAATGTCTGGGGCTCAACTTCTGCACCAAGTGAAGGGCTCAATAATCTCCAGTCAGAAGCATGTGTGATATTAGTCCAGGGAGAAACAGAGAAGACTCCAGAAGCAGGTTCACTCATTTATGAAAACATGTGTGGAGCAGAGACATCATTTCAAATCAGAGAAGGAAAAGGGGATTTTAGAACAACATTGGAGCAGGGGTGGGGCAATGGCAGCGTAGGTCTTCTGTAATGCCAGCTCTGGGAAGGGTTGTGAGTTCAAGGCCAGCATGTTTACTTGGTAAGCTCTGGTCTCAAAAAATAGAACAGGGTCAGGGTCGGGCAGGGGGAGCAGCATTGGAAGAAGCTACTGTCCCACTGTTAGTGAGGGGGAAAAAATCAGCTAGCCATCCATATCAAATTGGGTTAAAACGGGTTAAAGAGCTAAATAGAAAAGCACATATCCTGAAAAGTGTCAGAAGAAAAGGAGGAGAATGCTCTTAGATCTCAGAGTAAGAAACGGGTGGCTAAACCCCACACCAAAACCAAACCATAAAGATGGTACATTAAAGCATTTTCAAAACCTCTTCCTACATAAAAGATGTCATAAAGAAGAAACATAGATCTTAAACGTGAAGAAGGAATTTGGTGTGTATCTAACCAGGAAAGGATAGCCCAGAATTTATAGTAAACAGCTTTAACTAAAGCCCCAAGGCTAGGCACTCCTGAAAGATGACATGGAACAGCTTCACAATACACAGGAACAAGGTGGCAAAGTCAAGCAGAGGGAAATCAGGAGCTCACGCTCACTAGGTAGAAAAAGTCAGCAAAAGGGGGCCTTGCTAAGAACCACATGGAGCAGAGGTTCTCAGGCTTCCTAGTGCTGCAACCCTTTAACACGGTTCCTCATGCTGTGGGGACCTCCGACCAAAAAGTTATTTTCATTGCTACTTCATAACTGTCATTTGGCTCTATAAAAGTGTAGTGTAAATATCTGTGTTTTTTGATGTGTTTTCTACTTAGGCAACCCCTGTGAAAGGGTCCGTCAACCTCTAATATCTGAGAGCACAGCCACTGCTCAGCCACAGGCCTGTAACATCCTCCGCTCTCTGCAGCCCTGTGTGCAATGAGTAAGGATGAGAAGGCAGAACTCATAGCTGGACGTGGGTTCTAGTGGATGGTACACAGAGGATCTCATACATATCAGGAATGTTTTAATCCTCGGAATTAATTGTTCACGGGTGTGCTCAGATCCACAGTTCCATGTGGCAGGCAAGCAGAGGGACTAGGTTCGCAGCCTTGGCTCTACTTGCTTTGGGCTATACACCCACTGCTCTCCTAATAATGTACCTGGAAGTCTGAGATCCTTACACACACAACTGTGCACACCCCTTCCCCCCAACAACCTGATGGCAGCCTAGGACCCCGCATCAAACTGCACACACGCCCAACTCAGAGCTGTGCAGTAAGTGTATCTTCCTTTAAGGTCCAAGCTTATATTTTGTTCACTACTTAAGTCCAGTAGGAGCATAGGGAGCTGATCCTGCCTACACTGGTTTGGTTGCATGTCCAGTAGGCAAACTGTGTCTTCGAAGCAAACTTTTAGGGAGAATCCCCCTTTGACTACCTATACCTGTGTACAAGTGGGCAAGCCCTATAGTAGAAGTGGGGCTCCTGGGAGGTTGCCATGCTACAGCGCACAGACTCACAGCCATATGCATGTGGGCAGCACTAATTGGACTCAGTAGGTAATATATATACACACACATATACGTGTGCATATATATGTGTGTGTATGTATTATGTATGTATACACATACTCACTATATATGGAGAGTGTAAGTATTCATATATGAATATATGGATAGTGCCTATTTATATATACACATATATGTGGAGCGTGAGATGAGTGTGGAATTGAAACTGAGTGGGAGACAGTGAGGAGAGATCTAGAGAGAACATGAAATTGGCAGCAGGGGAATGGAGGGAGGGACCTGGGAGGAGCTGGAATTGGGGAGTAGGAGGTGGACTTTACAAAAACAAAATGCATTCATATATGAAGGAAAAATAATAGTAAAATAGAAACGCTACCAAGCACTCAATGCTACCTAGTGGGGTCTAAACTGTGACCCAATGGAATATGGCACAGCCACTAAGCAGTTGCTGAAATTATTCTTAGTATTGTGAACCTGCTCATAAACTGCTAACCTAAGCTAACACAGGACGGAAAGAAAGTAGGAAGAGTAAGAAGGGTAAGCCATTAAAACATGTACATAGGCATGGAAGTCAGTACACCAAAGGTTAAGGGGGTTGTTTCTGTATAGATTAGAAGTGGCTTTTTCTTTAATAACCTAACTTGTGGTGTTCACACACTTCTGGATGTGAGTCCGTCCCTGCCCCCCCCCCAAGAGTAGTTGACTTACAGGGAGAAGGTGGCTACCTTAAAGAAAAGGGAGTCTCCCTTCCCCAGAAGCCTCAGTTAGGGGTGGGAGCTTGTGACTCCCCACCCCCTCTATGTTGAAAGGTTAATTACCTTGGTCTTAGGCAGATCATCATTGATGCCTAGAATTCAAGAAGACCTGGCGTCATGTTCCAAAGACACTGTGTCATTCTGATCCTTCCAGACCTCTGGCTCTTAAAATCTTTCTGTCCCCCCTCCCCTTTCCCATGGTCTCTGAGCCTTGGAGAGCGGGTGCGAAGCAGATGGACTGAATCTTCTTTTAGACATTGTTTTCTAAAATACTTATGAGCATGCATGTAATTAATGCTTTAGTATAAAAAGATGTCTTTTGTTCAAACAATGTAAACAAGGCCAGATGATAACCCAGAGAGAAGGCAGGGAGCCAAGAACTGCAGGCGTATGCCACTTTGCTGGAAGTCTAGTGTATCTGCCCCTATCACAAAATCTGGAGAGGAACAACGTCGCCACAGCCCTGGGCTTCGGAGGAAGCTGCCCACCCTCCCTCCCTCAACCTGCAAGTACGGCTCGATGGCCTGGTTCCCAGGTTGGGCTTGAGGGTCATCGAGCCGGTGTCACGCGTGCCATCGCGGCTTCTAAAGCCACAGGGAGCGGGGCCGTTCCGCGGAGCTGCTTGTCACCGCTGGCCAGCCGCAGCAGCGACGCGGATTTGGGGACGCGTGCGCGGGGCGGGGACCAGGCCACCCGCCTCCTCCGGCTGGGGAGTCCCCGGGGCCGGATCACGGGGAAGTCCCGAGCAGGGGTACAAGAACGCGGCGCGCGCCCAGGAGAGTAGCCTGGACGGTGTCGCAGCGCTCCAGCCATGTCGCGAGGCCTCCAGTTCCTGCTCCTCGGCTACGGTACGGCCCCCAGCCTGTCGCCCTACGCTGCCTGCGACCTGCCTCGGTGGCCTGGCTTACGCCTCTCTGTCTCTACCCTTTCTCTTGCAGCCTGCAGCCTGGCGCCAGCGATGGCGATGCGGGAGGTGACGGTGGCTTGCTCCGAGACGGCTGACCTGCCGTGCCCAGCGCCTTGGGACCCGCAGCTCTCTTACGAGGTATCCTGGGCCAAGGTAAGCGAGACCCGGGTCTGAGTGGGTTTTTTGCTGGGACAGAGGAAGCAGACAGACAGACTAGGGACTGGGTCTCCCGGGGCCCCGGTTGGATACTCTAGCTATTCTGATACTCGACCTTCTCCCACTGGGCTTCATCTGCATCCTCATCCAGAACTCTCACGTTTTAGTTCCTGGCAAATCATGATCAAAGGCGTCTTGATGTGAGTGATCCCACCAGAGGTTTGCAAAGGAATGGATCCGTGCCGCAGGGCACCTGTGGGCACAGCCAGGAGGCTACAGAGAAAGCAACGTGGGCCTAGATTTTGGACATGAGACAGGAAGCATGTCCCCATACTCCTGATATCTGGTGCCTTGTGACCATGACACCTTCAAAATACAGAAGGGAGAGGAACATTTGAGAGGAAGGTCTCAAAAAGGGTCTCAAATGACTTAGATTGGCCACAGGAGTTAGTTAGGAGTGTCCATTTCATTTCAGCCAAGGCAGCCCCTGAGGGGTCCCGCCATGAGTGAGGACTCTGCCCCTGTGGTGGGAAATTTCACAAGGCACAACACTTGAAAGGTTTCCTTTCAGCGACATCTTAAGACTTCACAGTTTTAATTCCTGTTGTATGCTAAAGCCAAGCAGCTATAATTTAATAGAGCCGGCCTTTGCACCCCTTCTTTAAGTGAGCTTCTGAGGCAGGCCAGCTCCATTTTAAGGCAAATGAATTCAATCCCCAGGGGTGGCTTTCTGATTTGCTGGTTTACCTCTGAGGAAGTCTCTGTCTGATCTCAGTTTCCACAAAAACGCAGGGCTTCCTTCTTACCGCTGTGAAAGATGCTGCGGGAGCGGGTAGTTTGTATTGGTGTTTAAACATGCAAGGCGACGCATGTGTGTGTGTGTGTGTGTGTGTGTGTGTGTGTGTGTGTGTGTGTAAGCGCGCTAGCGCGTGCATATGTAGGTGCGCGCGCACGCGGTATTTGACCACTTAAGCCGATTTGTCTGGGCTGGAGGCTAGTATCTTAGTGGTACAGTATTTACTTAACAGGCAAAAGCATGCTGAAACCCCGAGCATCAAACCAAAACCCAAAGTAGTTAACCAAATGGGTTGTCAGTCCCCGAAAGACAGCGATGGCACCAGTTCTTTCTGAGTTCTGCCCAGCATCCAGGGTCTACCTTCTTACTGAATCTAAGCTGACAGCATGAGGGAGGTGGCCCCATGGAGACCACAGGACACTGCTGGGTAGAATATTATAGGACAGGGTGTAGAGGGAATGGGGGGGGGCGCTATTTCTTCTCATTTCTCCTTTTTACACTGTGAGCTCAGAGGACAGGAGTCCAAATCTTTTGAGTAGTCAAAACAATAACGCTTTAAACATATTACAAAAACAGTATTTGAGGACTCACCATATGCCAGACTATGGGGACAAATATTTACATATATTATCTTCCTCTGTCTTCTGGAACAGTGTGGCCTTAGGAGTCCAGAACTATGCCTGCTCCTACTTCCTGATGAAGAGACAGAGCCCTGGGGGGGGGGGGGGGGAGCAAAATACACGGGCTTTGACCCAAGCTGCCAGATTCCAGATCTTGGGCTGTTAGACTATCTTGATATCTCGATGTTCTACTTTAATTACTTTGGGTAAAGAAAAACAAAGTGTCCCTGAGCCAGCCAGACAGTAGGCTTAGCCATCATCATCTCAAGGAGGGCGCAAACATGAAACCATGTTCTTTCCCAGACTGTAATTAAAAAAAGAAAGCATCATTAATATCCCCAGGGGAGTAATTAAAAAGTACTCACGAAACAAGCAGATGAAATTTCAGACTGTGAAGTTCAAACAGTTGTCAAGTTAAATCTTCTCGCACGGGGTCGTTTGGAATGGTTCAGTAAATCCTAGCAATTAGCCTTTGACCTTTCCTTGGATGTCGGCAGATGATGTAACACTGTAATGTATGTGCTTGTTTATTGGACATGGTTCTTGCAAGGTCTGGCCTGAAGGTCCCTTAAAACTTCTTTCTAAAAAAAAAAAACCAAGGCGGAGGGCAGGGGGTGGTGGTAGAGTGCTTGCTTTGAATTAAGCTGTGATGCTAAAGAAAAAGGCGATGTCTGTTCTCATCCCCTCTCCATGGGCTTGTGGCTAGAGGAGCATTACAATGCTAGCCCACTAACCAAGCACCTTGAAATCGATATGAATTCTTTCTTCTTGGACTTTTGGATGAGTCCCATCATATTTGGTATTTTTCCAGGTCCCAAATGAATAGATTGGCGTTGTTGTTTGTTTGGGAAAAAAAAAATGGACAGAGAATTCTAGAAATAAGGCTGTGGCAAGATACCGAAAGGCCTTGTTTTATGGATGAAGCATCTGGGGGTTTTCTTTATGGTTTCCTTGGAAAATGTTCTAGGGGAACTGTGAGGTATGGGATTTAAACTCAGAACCGAAGACGAGTCCAGTTCTTCTCACCTCCCTTCCCCGTCTCTGTTCTGATATGTAAAACCTGTTTCCTGTGTGTGGGAATAGTGCAAGGAGAGCCCCTTGAAGTGAAGTTTCACCTTGTGCCACCCTGAATCACACTCTTGCAGGTCTCCTGCCAGTCACAACAGTGGTCACAATGACACATGGCTTAAAATTCTGTTTGCCATTTCGTCCTTGGGTCCCATAGAACATTCTGCCATTAGCCAGTTGGCACTGATGGCCTGTGCTTAAGAAAGGACTTCTGCAAGTCAACTCATACCTTTTACCAAAAACTCAAGGCAGATGGAATTCCGTTAGTGTCTGTATAAACATTGATGGATCGGGCCATGTCTGACTCCATTCTTTGTGTCTAAGATGTAGTGATGGGGAGGCCAGAGGAATTCAGTAGAGACAAGCACAGAAGATCAAAGGCCAAATACAGATGGCACCAACCCAGTGTCCTCTAGGACAGCGTTTCCTTCTGTGGCCCGGTGCCCTCATAACTGGAACCCCTGAAGACGCCTTCTCTTCCTACCTTTTAAAGTAGAGTGGATGATGGAGGAGAAATAGGAGAATCAATAAGTTGTATCCATTGAGATTGTAACTCAGTTTAGTCTTTAAAGTTCTAATAGGTTGCAGCTTGGGTACGAGGAGGTAGTTTGAGAACACGGGCAAATATGCTTTGATCCGTCATTCTTTGGCTGTTGACCATGATATTTGTTTACATTGGGTTTCAGAGGACAGAGTTGAGTATAAGGCTCTGCACGAGGGGCTGTGACTGTGTTTCACGGAACATCATCGTGTCTGTGCTTGCTTCCAAAAAGCTACAGTAGGTTTGAAGAGAGAGCCCAGCTCCAGATAGACAGCTCTGGGCATGGTTGGTGTCCTTCTCTGCTAACAAGGAGGAGTCATTTACTCTGCCGATCCAGCTCCATCCTGGATCATGCTAGGAGCCCTGACAACCTCCGGTGAGGCAAAGTGAAAGGGGATATCCGTGTGGCCTCTGGGTGATACTGCGGGGGTGGGGACAGCCATGCGTCACAAGACATATTCTTTTTAGATGATTGTCAAAGAAAGGGAGAAAGGGGAAGTAAGACCGTGATTTCAGAGAATTGGCCACACTTGACTTTAGGGCTTAGAAAAGCCTTGGCAAGGGTAGAGTATGGACAGTTTGGTCCAGTGCTGTGTTCCATTTCTGTACTGGAAAGCAGGCCCTCTGACAGCTCGAGGCTAGGCACCACACCAGTGTGTTGGCCTTGACTCAGTAGGGTGCAGTCTGCCCTGGATTCTGGTCACTCTTAGTGAATATTTCCTGTCTCTACCAGTGTGTGATGCTGAGCTCTGAGGGCAAGGCCTCTGAAAAGAGCCGAGGGGTTGAAGTCATCCCCGGGGCACTACCTGTGAGCTAATAGGTATCACTTGTTGCGTTTCCTTGATTCTCAGAGGCAATCTAAGAACATGTTTATTTGGGAGAAAAAGAAACATTTCCATATTAAATTTAGAAGGACTGAAAATTTGAAATGTGAGAACTGTATGTATATTAGAATCAGAGAAAAATACTGCAGTCCCCATAGGCATGTGCCCTCCTTGCCTTGGAGAAATCACTTTTAGCTCTAGCTACAAAAGACATGAAGTTGGTTTTTGGATGTCTTTCATATTTACACAGCTAATGTAGCTGCCTCCTGGGCCTGGTGATAGCTATCCTAAAATCACCATGGAGAAGATGGCTTCTTTGGAGCCCCAGCAACCATGTGAAAAAAGAAGCTTCAATGGCTAGGATCTTTGACACCAGTGCAGATGGCCAGAGATGGGGGGATCTCTAAAGTTCATTAGCCAGTCAACCTAGTCAAATCTGGGAGTTCTTTGAAAGAACCTGTCTTGATAGACAAGATAGAGGGTGATGGAGGAAGACATCTGGTGTCTACACACATAACAGACATGTGTACACACCCACACTCAGAGACAAAGCAAACATTCTAGAGTAGCATCTTAAGCAAGGGCAGAGAAGTGAACCATGAAGCATCTTGGTGTAAGTGAGGTCACTGGTGATCCAGAAAGGAAAATGGTGCAGCAGGTAAAGCTGGAGGTGATAGGATGGAGGCAAAGTGGGAAGGACTCAAATGTCAATAGTGAGTCCAAGGCATACCATCTCAGCAGTAGTGAACCATTGAAAGAGTTTCAGCACAGAGAATGATGTCATACAAATCTAAGGAAGAGCACATTTCTCATGGTGACGGGGAGAATGGAGCTCGTCTGAGAAGACAAATGTTTGGGAGCCTGTATTCTTTTCCTCCACTGAAATTCCCATCAGCTTAGCTCAGCGGAGGCCAGAGCACATCTTTTTCCCTTGGATTTGCTTCATCACCATTTCTGTCTGCGTGGTCAAGGAAAGATGAGTCTACCTCAGAAAGAATGGAGGAAGCCTCCGCCAGACGAGAATGGTGGCTCATTGAGGTTTGGGACATGGCTGAACATGACCGAACATGGCATTGTTCATGTTCTTTGGGGGATAGGAAGAGGGCGGCTGAGAGCTGAAGAGAAACACCAACAAAGAAAAACATGTG